GCCGGCAGGACTTCCTGCTCGCGCCCGGCAGCGAGCGCGAGGCCGAGGCGGCCGACCAGGCCGTCTCGCTCGCGCTCGCCTTTCTCGACCGCCACGTGTGCCAGAGGGCTTCGCCGCCGGCGTTCCCAGGTAACGGCTAGCCGGGGTCGGTGTGCGGCTGAGCGCTGAGGGCGGGGGCCGGTTCAGAAATCACCCCGTTTTTGCCCGTTTTTGGTCATCCGTCAAAATATCTGAAGATCTGACCGGGGGATTCTCCCCAAGGGTGAAATTCTCAAAAAGGTGCAGCACTTCTAGCCGACATCGACAAAAGTCCCTCTCTGCCCCGCGGCGAGCGGCCCCGCCGGAGGCGAAGAAAATTTCGCCATCTAGCGCTCGCAACACACAGATTTGTGCATAAATCAACACACTCCAACTCAAGCTCAATAAAGACTGGTCTTCGGGGGAGTGACGGATAAAGGCGTGCGAAAGAGCTATGAATTCGAAAGCAGCGAAAGTAATGGCCGGCCGCAGGGTTTTGGGTCCCCTACGCCAAAGAACTCGAGGCCCAGGATTTCGGCGGGCGCGCCAACGAGCACGCGGCTTCGCGCTGCCTGTATGCTCGCGCTGGTAACACCGTTGCTGTGGCCGTCTTCGTCCGTATTGTACACCGAGCTGGCGCCACAGCAGAGTACAACAACGGCTCGGACGAGCTGCTCCACGGTACTACAATCATCAGAGGGCCCGGCAAGGTCCACGGCGGAGCTGGCGGTGGTGGCAGTGGTGGTAGGAACGAAGGCGCCGCTGTCGGCGATTCACCGCCGTTCGTTCCCGTCTCTCAAAGCAGGTTACACCGTCGATGCGCACATCGAGGCGCTCGTGGACGAGAGAGACGTCGCCTCCTCTTTCGTCCCGGGGCACTGTTCATGCAGGATCATCACGCCGGAAGGCACCGCCAAGTACATTAGCCTTCATCTCTCCTACCGCCGGCCGGGAGTGCAACCGCCACCAGTGAGATTGTCCTCGACTTTGGCACCTGCGAAGTAATGAACAACAGGCAGTACGTCATATGGCGCTATGATAGCCCTGCGGTGGACGTCCTCGATGCAGACGAGGCCAGGACGATGCGGAGCTCATCTGCGCGGCGCAGATCGCCGACTGTCTCTCTCTCCCTGCGCGAGTAGTTGCACCACCCTGGATGAGGCATCTGGGCTGGGGCAGGGCCGTTAGTAGAGGAGGTGGACTGAGGGCGCGAGGCCACCAATCGTCAAAGTCTGCTGCTGACTGACTGTCGGTCACTGACTGAGCAATCGCATCGGCGGTTTCACGCTCACAATCGGGTTACATCGAGGTCTCTGTGCGGGATGTGCTGGGGGGCTGCCCCCCAGTCGATTGCCGCAAAGTTCGTCGATGTAACCCTACCAGAAAGCTGTATTCACACCTACCCTCCAGAAAAGAAATATGGTTTTGTCGAAGATCCGGCGGGTTTATCGGAGCATCACCCGGTGGGAGGGGGGGGGGGGTTCTTTGTGGGGGGGCGCCTGCCCCAGCGCGCGCGTAAATTGGCATTTCTTTGTGGGGTGGCGCCTGCCCCAGCGCGCGCGTAATTTGGCATTTAGAAAAATCAGTAACCAGCCTCCGGCGGGGCGCCGCCCCCCGCGCTACCAATCCAAACCCGAGTACAAAGCGCGCCTCCTGCGCGCCTCTCCGAGGCGCTGCGCAGATGGTCTACGAATCATAGAGGCTCAAGTGACAAGTCCACACATACACACACGCGGGGGACACACCGGTCACCCGCGGGTGCCATCTGCCATACACAAAGCATTACTCTCACGACACACGGGGATCGCGATCGGGTGGAGCGGCGGCGGCGGCGGCAGTGGCACGCGCGGGCGGACGGACTCGGACGGGGCGGAGCAGCGACCGCCTGGGCGGCCGCTGCTCTGTCTGCCGCTGCTGACCTCGAAGGCGTGCGGAGCGCGACTGTTGGTGTCGGGGGGCGGCCGTCATGTGGCGAGGCTACGTCGCACGAGTGCAACCGGGTAGCGGGGGGCTAAGAGACCGCACTCGCACGTGTGTGTTGCAGTTGCGACGGTTATATCATTTACCACTATGCTCTATGCCACGGTCGCCCATCCCGGGATGGGCGACGTGGCAAAGAGTGGTAAATGATATCCGTCGTAGCTGCAAAACCAGTAAACCACAGTCCACACTCCCCTCCCGGGTCGCGGAACATGTGTCCAGTTTGGTTGCCGGCCGGGATGCGGTCGATCGGTGGACTGTCGCAGGAGATTGTGGAGAATGACCTCCAGACTGACCCGGAGAATCACCTCCACCCAGCCCCACCGCAGCACCCCTATTATCACTCTCCCCCCCCCCCCCCCCACCCCAGTGATGAATAGTCTACCTATCCCTATATTCCCACACCCTGTGCAGTGGCACGTCTTGCCACCCAGACCCCTAATATTGGCACCCTGGGCGCCGAATAGACGCCCAAGTATTGGCACGTCATAGTTCCCTCGACTCTCGAGGCGTCGTCATGTGACACTTTGAGCAGTCACCCCGCTGAGGCTGAGGCCTGAGCCCCAGCATTCCCGGTGTTGTGCGACACCATTCCCTTAAACCACTCGGATACGAGTTCCTTATACCAATCCTACAGTCGTCTGAGACGGCACCCGGATCGAGGATGGCTTTGCAGCCTCACCCGCGATCAGCAATACCGCAGAGCCGTGCACGCGGCTCACCACTCACACTTGCTGGGCACCAACCTTTGGGTCCAGATGCCGACCCCTCTGCAAACGAGGGGAGAGGGACGCCTCGCGATACTACGGAGGGCCTCCACCTCGACCAAACACGGTCAGACCACTCCAATCCCTACCACATGGACTCCTTAGAGGAATTCATTTTTTCGACCGTCGGACTGGGTTTCGAACTGGCGACCCATGCAGTTTTGCGACGGTATATCATTTACCACTGGGATGGGCGACGTGGCAAGTGGTACACGGACACAGTCACCTTGCCACGGACAGCGCGGCTCTACTTGCTATCGGGACGAGCAGAGGGCACACAGCACATGCTACATGTACATGTAAAGCCGTACATGTTGTGATGATGCGGCGCCGATGGGGCAGATACCAGGACGAGGACGACCGGTGCGGCATGTGTGCAAGTCATGCGAACGCCGCGTTGCCCAGCCCCACGAGGGGCGCTCTTTCAGGAGACAGGCCCCAGCGTAGCCTGGCGCGGGTCCAGCCAGGGTCCTACTCTTGTGCACAAGTATTACTATGGCAAAGGCCAGTAGATATTCGGCAAATAAGACAGCAATTGCAGCAAATTTGACAAATCTTATGGTTTTCGAGTGACAGTATGGATTCCGGGTGACACAGGTTTAAACAAGCACGGTCGATCCGTCAAAGCATACACTCGTTCCTATCACGTTGGACGGCTTGCACGGAGCTCTGTGCCAGCACACAGAAAGAGCCGTGCGGCAAGAAGAGCTCGATGGGGAGCGAGAACCAACAACCTTCACATGGGGAGAGGCCAGCCTCCGGCTTCTCAGCGTGTGCTAACAGCGCTGCGTACGGGAAACGAGCCGGCCACCGGCCGTGGCTCGGAGCGCTGACGCTCCGAGGACCACCGCTGCACGCACGCTAGACTGCCACAATCAGACCTTCCTCAGTCCTCACCAAGTTGCAAGTAACCGCCCTCACGCACAGTCAGTGTTTGTTCGGAGGGGGGGCTGGGTGGGCGGTAAGCCGTTCACACCCCTTCGGAAGATTGCGTTGTGTTCTTATTTTGTATCCGCTTTTTTATTAAATGAACTCTCTCTGGTATAGCCCCAGCCGTCGCTCCACGCTGTCTGGTGGCGTTCTCTGTTCACACCGAGCAGCTGTGGAAGCGACTAGCGGACTTACTAAGCCGACAATGTCCGCCGCAGCTCGCGCGGCGGCGCCCTCCGTGTGGTCGCTCACCACGAGGACCGGGCGGCTCCGGGTGCCGCGCGTGCGAAAGCAGATCCTCGTCGACATGGCGCGCTCGCTCCTGCTGCGCACCTCCCGCCGCACGCATTGATCGCGCCCGCCGCGCCTCAGATGTCGCGCAAGATGGCCGATCGCTCGCTCGTCGCTGTGGCCCACACGGGGAACCTCACATACGAGCAGAGCGCGCTCCTGAAGCGCGAGGCACGTGGCGTCCGACTCAGTGACGTCGGATCGAGATTGCCACCACCACCACACTCTTGTGCGCCCGCTGCGCAGGTGCAGTCGGCTGGCGGCAGCATCCACGTGGTGAAGAACTCGCTCCTCGGCCTCGGGATGCGCAACGCGGGCCTCGACGCACTGGTCCCGCTCTTGCGCGGCAAGGTCGCCGTCGCGGTGGGGGACGACGAGGCGAGCCGCGCAGTGCAGTGCAGCGCCCTCGCAGCGCCCTCTCGCCGCGCCGCCCACACCTGACCGCCGCCCCGTCTTGCCGCCAGGTGGCGTTGGCCCAGACGCTGCTTGGGGCGTCCAAAAAGGCGCGTCGGCGAGAGGCCGCGCCAGCCAGGCGAGACGGGCGACCCCAACACCCTCTTCTCCGCCGCAGGTGCCCGACTTTTTTGTCCTCGGCGCAGTGCTGCAGAGTCGGCGAGTCTTGCGCCACACCGAGGCTTGCGGCGCCCGCCGCGCCCGCCGCGCCCGCACCCGTTTCGCTCGCCCTAAACCTCCCCTCCCCTTTCCTCGCCGTCGGCGACTCACACGCTGGCGCGCGCGCTTGCCAGGTCGAGAGGTTGGCCAAGCTGCCGCCCGCGGAGGTGGTATACTCGAACCTCGTGTCGCAGATGCTGCCCGGCAGCGTGCTGCGGGTCCCCAACCCGGCGGCGCACCTCGTGGCGCTGCTCGGCCACCACTCGAGCGGCGGCGACGCCGACGGTGGAGGCGGCGGCGAGCGAGAATAGTTGTTCGGAGAGAGATTTTGAAAGAAAGAAAACAGAAAAATAGGGAGGGGTGGGAGGAAGGCCGAATAAAAGAATTCCCGGCTGTGCGAGAATGGGCACGGCCGGAGACTCGGCTCGGCTACTGGACGGCCTCGGCGATGCCGTTCGCGCGGTGCTCGCGCACAAGAACAGCTTGACTGACGAAGAGTGGCTCGTCGCGCTTGCGCACGTTGAAGCCATCCGCGGCAGCAGGGCGGCGGCGGGGATAGAGCTCGAGGACGACACTCCGCAGTGGCTTGTGGAAGCGGCGATGAAGATGACGCTGGTGGAGCGGACGGAGGAGGAGTCGCGGCCCGCCCACTCGGGACTGCCGGCTGGCTGGTGTTGCGGCTGGAGCCCGGTGCATAGACAGCACTACTACTATAGCGTGGCGCTCAACGTCACGCAGTGGGCTCCTCCACTGCCGCCGACTCCGGATACGCTCGCCGTCTCTCACGACGCCATCGAGGCCACCGACGACGGCGGAGCCGCTGAAGCCGCGGTCAGCGCCTGTAGCCCCGCGCGATTCGCAGCCCCTGCGACAAACGCCAAAGCTTGGGAAGAGCATGCGAAGCTTGCGGTGTGGGCGGAAGGGGCGGCAGCCCTTTCCAGGCGTCACGCGGAGGAGCGCGGGGCCGCGTTTGCACGAGCCCGGTCCATCTGGCGTCAGCTGGACCTCGCGCAGCGAGCAGAACTGCAAAGGAAGTGGCTCGGCATCTCTTCACGCCCTCTAACGAAGGGAAAGAGGGGCAACGGTGAGTGATGGCGGCCAGGCGGCCCACTGTCCAACCCGCGGGGACCGAGCTCCGATGGGGATGCGTCACAGCTCACACTTAGGGCGGCTTTACACATGGGAGGCCGCTGTCTCACCGACGGCGACACGCGCGCGGCGCGCGCGGCGGTGTGTCTCTCGTGACTGTGTGGCGCGTGGGGGTTGTGAGATCGTGAGACTGTACCTCTCGTCGCACGTCGGGCGCGGCCAATCGTCAAAGTTCTTGAGCTCCTCTCGGACACCGTCGAGCTAGGACCCCTTCCGATGCCGCTTCGCGCTTGGTGCCGCTCGCGCGCTCGGGCGCTCGCTTGCGCGCCTTTTTTATTTTTTTGCATTTTGGCGTCAACCCCTTGGAGTGTGAAGGCTTCGTAGCCCTCCCGGGGGTCTACTGAAGATCCGCAGGATTGGAGCGAAAAAAAGCAAGCGAGTGTTTTGGCGTAACCACTACCAGTCAGCACCAGTCTCTACACATACACGACAGACCTCAGACGCCAGACCCGAGACTCAGCCCCCCCCCCCCCCCCCCGACACAGACATGCAGTTGCACGGCTCGACACACGACTCTCCGAGGTACACAGGTACTCAAGCTATCTTCATCACACTGCACGCGAGTGCTCCCGGTCGGCATTCCCACACAATCAACAGCATCACGATATCACGCTCTACCAGCCGCCCGCCTCCCACCGCCAAAGGTCGCGTTCGAAGGGGTCGACCGAAGGCGCGAAGCCCTGCGCAGGTCGCGCCGCCATCTGCCTCGCCTCCGCCCACGCCGCCTTCTCCGCCTCCACCGCCCGCTGCTTGGCATGCCATGCCTCCTACAGAGACGCAGCCTTCGACCTCAACTCACCCGACCCCAGAGAAGGGGGACCCCTCCGTACGCCCCCGGCCTTGGCGATCGCCGCGGAGCGCCGCGCGGGCGTCGTGCGCGGTGCTGCCGCCCGCGCTGCCTCCCATTCTACCGCCGCCTCGGCCGCGGCAGTCTGGGGCGGCGGCGCCGTGGGCACCACCATTCCGACCCAGGGGCGGGAGTAGGGGCGGGTGCTGGGGCGGGTGGCGGCCGCCGGTGGCTGCGCGGCCTCGAAGCAGAGCGGCGCCTGGAGAGGCAGAGGCGCGGTCGCGAGGGTCGACGCGGCAGTTCGGCGGGTGTGTGGGGGGGGGGGGGGCAGGTGCGTGGGACTGACCTCGGCGGCTGACTGCTTCGAGAGCCACACCGCCTTGGCCTTCGCCGCCGTGTTGCGCGCCGGCGTCTGCGGGCGGGCCGCCGCCTGCCTCGCCGAGTGATGAACATAATAATAATAATAATAATAATAATAATAATAAACAATAATAACTAGTCTGCGGGCAAGCCGCCGCCTGCCTCGCCGCCGCCCACGCCGCGGTGGCAGCCTCCTCCTCCCGCTGCTTCTCCCGCCACGCCTCCCGCGCGCTCGCCGCCGCCAGCTTCGCCGGCGTCGCCAGCGGAGGAGCCGCCGCGGCCGGTAGAGCCACCCGCACCGCTGGAGCCGCCGCCCTCCGCACAAACGCCTCCCACGCCTCCTTCGCAGGTGTCGCCGGCCAATCCCCCCCCGCGCTCGCCGCCGCACGCCTCGCCACCGCACGCTGAAGAGCTGTCGGCTCCGCCGCCTCAGCCTTCGGTGCGGCCGACCCCGGCACCGCCGCCTCTGACGCTGGCATCCTTGTCGTCGGCCACTCGCTCGCCGCCACGGCGCTCTGAGACGGCCGCGCCATCGCCGCAATCTTCTGCGCCGGCGTCAACCCGGCTGGCGGCAGCGGCGGCTGCGGCGGCTGCGGCTGCGGGGGCTTTGCAGTGTCTGCCGCCGCCTCGACTGCAGCCAACCGCGCCTGCGGGGTGGGGCGAGGCAGCCTGATAGGGCGCAGGCTGCAATCCGCCCCGACCTTCTCTAAGCTGCGGCGCCTCAATCGTCGCGAGCCGCTGCGACAGCGCGTCCTCGCGCGCCCTCGCCTCAGCCGCCGCCTCCTTCTCCGCTCTCGCCCCCGCGACTGCCGTCTGGAGAGCGCCGTTCACCTGCTGAGTCACCTCGCTCACCTGTCCAGGGAGGGTGGGTGAAGGGGGGGGGGGGGGGGGTTGGGGACCGCTTCGGCGCGTCGTGACTTCGCGCAAGTTTTGCGATACCTGCTCCACCAGCCCGACGAGAACCTCGCTCGCCTCGCTCAGATCGCGCTCGAGCGTGCCCACCCTCGCCGATAGGCCACCGTTATCCCCCGCAAATCCACCATCATCCTCCGCAAATCCACCGTCATCCACCGCCGAACCGGGCGTTGGAGTGTCAGGCTGCGTCGCCGCAGTTACCTCCGCACCAGACTCGGAGGCAGCCTCGATCTCGTCGTTGCTCGAGGCTTCAGGCTCAGCGGGAGCTACGTGTGGCGTTGGCGGCCCCATTCTCCACGCCGGCTGCGCCTGCCTGGCCAGCCACGCAGCCTTGGCCGCGTCTTCTGCCGACTCGGCTGGCTGGGCGCAGAGCATCCTGGGGCCGCCCGCGGCAACTCTAGGCGGCCCGACTAGAGCCTCGGCGGCGAGAAGGGCGACTAACATCGAAGTGGAGAAGGTTTTTGGGCGAGTTTTTCTCTACACCTGCAACGCCCAAGGCTCATAGCTGCTCTCAAGTTCGCCCAAGGCGGTGTCTTCCTCCAGACTTCCACCCTCCTGATGCCGTCCAGGATCCTCCTGCAACTCAATCGACTCCCCTTTTGGGGAGGCGTGTAGCTGTAGGCGGGCCTTGGTCCACTGACTCCAGTCCCGGTCAGCGCCCAGCGCCGCTTGCCAATCCTCGTCGCGCATGCTGGCAGGTGCTGCACTGAGGCTGGAACCCGCAACCTCGAGCGGAATCCACTCATAGCTCAGCGATGAGTCGCAACCTCCCTCCTGAGGCTTGCCCGTAGCTGGTGTGATGCGTTGCCTCGCGCTTTCCGTGTCTGTGGCCGCATCATCCGCGTCGAGATAGCTGATTGGCACGTCGTGTCGACCGCGACCAGAGAGCTGAACCATGCGACTCTGGCGGCTCAATCTCTCATCACTGTTGCCGCTCCCGCCCTGTTTGCAGCCGCTGTCACGCACGCCCTGCATAAATTCGCCGCAGCTCTTTCGGCAGTCTCCGCTGTCCTCACCCTCGCCGCCGCCGCTCGTCTCCGACGTCGCCTTCTCAGCGCATTGCAGCGTCTCGGGTCCCAGATCACCGCCCCCTGGCGCCTCGTCGTGCCCGCTGTGGTGTCCCGCATGGGGAGAACGAGGGCTTGCTTGCGCCTGCGCAAGGGGAGCGAGAGCGAAGGGTCGCATCGCCCGCGCCCGTTCTGATCGAGCAGCTCTCAGCCACGCTCTCGAGTCTCGTTCTCGGGCCGCGTTTAAGTGCCCAGAACGACCGCCTCAGTGGTGTCCGGCTGGCGTGATCAGTCAACGAGCCAAACAAACAACTCCTTCCTGCAGCTGGCATGCCGGTTCTTTTTGTGTGTTTTCGCGGGGGTTCTGGAGCTACTCCTACTGGTGCCCTTTTGTACAAATGATCCTCAGTGTAAGTAGTACTTTTCTTTTGGTCTGCTGCGCAGTTTCAGAATTCTTTTGGTCGAGTGCGCGCCAGTCCGGTGTTGACTTTTCAATTCTTTTGGTCGACGCTGGAGAGCTCGACGGCCAGCGCGTCGTACTGCGACGGGGCTCGTGCTATCTACAGAGGCGGTGCTCCCGCACGCGGGCAACCTCTTCGTCGAATGAGCCCCTTTGCCGGTATTCTGCTAGCAGCTGCGTCTGCGCTTCAGACGCCGGCGTTCGTGCTCCGCCGCGCGCTGCCAAGCGGCGTGGCACGCGCTAGAGCTCTGGAGATGGATGCACCCACGAGCCGCGGCGCACGCGGCCGCTTTCAGCCGGCCGTCCTCGGTGGCGGCAGGGACTTCTCTGCCGCGCTCTCTCGAGGCGTCGAGCGCTCGAGTGGCCGCGGCCGCGGCCGCAGTGGCGGCGGTGGCGGCGGCGGCACTCTGCACTTAGCGCGAGCCGCGGCGGCAGCGGGGAACGCGAGCGCCGCTCTGGCGAGCGCAAAGGTGGCGCTGCGGCAGCCGCCGACGACGGCCGCGGCCAAGGTCGGCCTCGTGCGCGAGGTGAACCAGCTGCTGCGGCTGCTCGGCGACCGCGGCGCGCTGGCCGAGGCGGGCGAGGTCTTCCGCGCGATGCTCGATGCGAGGCTGACGCCGACGCAGGTGACGTACGGCACGCTCATCGCCCGCGCGGGCACCTGGCGCCAGCCGCGGCTCGCGACCGCCTACTACAAGGACATGCAGCGGCGCGGCATCGAGCCCGACACGCTCACGCACAACTCGCTCATCAATGCGTTCGCAAAGGTACTTCCTAGGCACTTTCTAGACACTTCCGAGAGCTCACGCACAACTCGCTCATCAATGCGTTCGCAAAGGTACTTCCTAGGCACTTTCTAGACACTTCCGAGAGCTCACGCACAACTCGCTCATCAATGCGTTCGCAAAGGTACTTCCTAGGCACTTTCTAGACACTTCCGAGAGCTCACGCACAACTCGCTCATCAATGCGTTCGCAAAGGTACTTCCTAGGCACTTCCGAGACACTTCCGAGACGCTTCCTGCAGGCGCACGACCTCGAGAAGGCGCTCGCGGTGGCGGCGGCGATGCGGCGGCGCGGTCTCACGCCGACGACAGTGACGTACAACACTCTGCTCGACGGCTGCGCGCGCGCCCGCAACCTCACCCTGGCCGCGGCGACTCTTGCAGAGCTGCGCGCCGCGGGGCTGGCGCCGAGCGAGCGGCCTCTCCCGATCTGGATCCCCGGGTGCGGATCGGCGGAGTCGTCTGTGAGTCGCGTCCGAGCCCCCTCCCGTAGGACGTACTCTATCATGATCCATCTGTGCGCCCGCACGGGGCGGCTCGACGGCGCGTTCGGCTGGCTGAGGCGACGCGCCTGGGCCTTCCCCCCCCCCCCTCCCCCCCACCCCCTCTCACTTCCGTCGGGGCGCCCCCCTCCTGCAGGCGGATGGAGCGGAGCGGTCTCACGCCGAACGCCGTCACGTACTCGACACTCATCCACGGCTGCGGCCGCGCCGCGCAGCTCTCGCGCGCTTTCCCGCTCCTCGAGCAGATGGAGGCGGCAGGGCTGCCCCCAAACGTCGTGACGTGCGTGTTTTAGCCCCGGGACCGGGCCCCCTCTCCCTGTACACGTCGCCGGCTGTCCCGCGCCCTGCCCTGTTCCGCTGCCTCCTCCTCCTCTG